AACGTTTCTCCCACAAAACGCTACGTCCAGATGAACAGAATCAACTTTTGGAGACATTAGATTTTATCTTTGTTGAGTGGAATTTATTTTGTACAGAATCCACCCAAACCTCCAAAACAAGTATTTTTTTGGAGTATTTTGATGTCACTCAGCGATAACGGTAGTCTAAGAAATAAGATCAAGACACATTTACCACTACCCCTATAAAACTATTTACTATCCGCTTACGGGACAGCAAATAGGATACAGCACGGTAAAGTTTCAGCAGTTTTTAGATTTTCTTTGCCTCCCAGATTTTTTCTTCTCTTGTTTTCTAGAGAAAAGGCTACAATGGAGTATTAGGGCCACATTAAGAAAAAGAATATTCATTTTGAGATTAAAGTTGAAATTTCATGATTATACTCAAAATACTATTACAGTACTGTAATGTGTAGATGAGTTAGTAAAATGAGTTGATCCGCTGTCTTATCGTGTCTTGTGATACAGCGTACATCCTCATTGCTGCACGAGGGTGTAACCAATCGCCAGCCACTTTATTTTGCACAAGCCAGGCCAAGAGAAATCCGTTCCCTGTTACCTAAGCTGATACTGAAGTACGATTTAACTAAGTCATCTACAAATATTGTCAAGACTTTTTTTTCTTAAACTAATATTTCTAATTTTATCTTGAAATTTCAACTGTATTCTCAAAATGATCAATAATATATTGTACGTAGCCCTATTACCCCTTCGTGGAATTCCGATAGCGTTTATGGCTCCTTTCATGACGGATGTGTTTTACACATTACACTCCCTTCAAAGATCTTTAAAGTCTCTGACAAAGGTCATGCCCGTTTCTGAAACAATCAAACACTCATCTGGCAGCCACACGCACACTTTAGACTTTACACTTCCGATTTCTTCACTTTTTATTCATCGTTACACATTTTCAGAGGAAATGAAACACATCTCATAATGGTCACATTTACAATAAGGAATCACGGGCGTGTTTTGCCATGGTGGAGCTTTTTAAAGATGCGACTTGTAGGTTTTAGAAACTCGGATCTGACATTTTTCTGTTTATCTGATACTTCATAGCAAGTCTGCTATTTTACTGATTACTTGTATATAACTTATAACTTACTTGTATATAATACTTGTATATAACTGTCAGATAGTGATTATTTTTTATTATTAATCTATCATCTCAAGCACTGTTGCTTTGGCATCTTGTTTGTGAGTTCCTCTGTCCCTCCTAACGCCATCACATTTTAATTTTAGGGTTTAATTAGATTAATCTGAATTCTATTCTATTGACATTCATGCCAATGAATGCACCTATTATAGCCTGATCAATACCAGCTGGTGTGTGGATCATGTGGAAAAATATAGTTGATCATGTGAAAAGAATTTCACAGGTACCTGTGCAGGATTGTAAAAGCATGGTCTTACTGCTCCAAATGGAGTTAAGAGATCAAGGTGCTGCTAAACAAATGCACATGATTTAATGAT